GTAAACAAAAAGCCATGGAATTTTAAAAAATTAATTTCTAAAACTTCACAGCAAAGATGCAAGTCTCAACTGTTATACATATGCTGGTCACAAACTAGCTTGCTTGTTCAGACTTCTTTCCCTTGTGTTATAATATTGATATTTAATAGGAAAATAAACTACATAGACTTTTATCTGTATGCATCCATTTGCAAATTTCCTTACAAAAGAGGACAAAGCACATAGGCATTCACAAATTCTATGCCATTTCTGTTAAAATTGGTATCTATACATTATATTACAGTATTAACAATGTTTCTTCTACCCATTGGGTAGGATATGTGCATAATATATTCAAGTTATATACAGCACCTTACAAATAAAAACAGGAAAAAACAGACAGCTGAAGAAGCACCATTGTAAGTGAGGCACAACAAAGGTGGAGCACAGAAAACAGCAGTGGTGGGGTTCAGCTCTTATGTCTGCTAACACCAGAACATGAGACCATGTGGTTGCTTAAAGCCTACTAACATACAGAGCTCTCTGAAGTGACATAGATCTGCATAATACACATGTGTTATATAGTGATAATTTCTGTATAGCTCCAAGGCCCACCACAGTATACTTAAGTACACACTGAGGAAGGAAAGAAAAGGATGAAGGGAAGATGGTGCTTTCTTAGCAAGGCATCCTACTCAGGACAACCTCCTATCACAGTCAACCTGAAAGTAGCAGCAGCAACAGCAAATAACTGTCTAATCCTGGCAGAAATCATGAATTTAAAATATGCAAAAGATGCAGCACTGTGGGTAGTATAATAGCATAAGCTGAAGTGTAGGATATCTCAAGGCAGGAGAATACTCTCCATTTTCCATCCACTTCTCTCTTCTCTGCTGCCGCAAAGCTGCCTTTAAATCCCTAAAAGTTAGGTGAGTGCAAAGCTGCTGGGACTATCCATGATCTGGGGTGAAAGCAGTTTCTTAATTTGTGACTTTGGTGTGCCCCTGTCAGATAGTGTTCTTCACAGTGAGGAGGAAGACTTGTCAACTTGTCACCCAAGTTGACAAGTCCTGCAATTTGATCTAAATTTGCCAAGGCTGCAGTAATCTAGGTGAGGGGAAAAGATCAGAGGCTGCAATGCCTGCTCTTCAGCCAGGTTGGGATGCTGGTTGGGAGCGGAAGGGGGTTTGGGGAATAGTAAGTCGCTGTACAAAGGCTTTGGCGCCAAGCACTGGCATGGTTTTGCTTTTAGTCAGACAGAATCAAAAAAATGAACAAAAACCAAATATTCTTACCAGGTTTTTTTCCTTCATACACTGCTGAGCTTTCAAAGTTTTAAGAAAAATTAGTCGCATACCAATTAACATGCAGTGAATGTTGCTGTTCTTAGCATCAAACCTCAAGGAGTGAGCACCAGCACAGCAAACAATACATGAGGTGCCAGGAACACACAGGAGGAGCCTGAGTAGCCAAGGCACGAACGGACTTTCTTCTGAGGGGCAGGGGCTGGACAGGTGTATCTCTTGCTATGGACCAGTATCTGAAGGCCATTACACCAGGACTCACCCTAAAAAGGTCTTCCTTGAGAGAAGAGCAATTGGATGGAAGATACAGGATTGCCCATTTCAGGATACAACTACTGGTTCTGAGAGGAAGTCAGTGATTTGAATGGATTCTTCCACATAAGAGAAGTTTTCTAAAAGTAGTTGCCTGTTGACACCTCATTCTTATGAAGATAAAGGTAAAGAAGATCTAGTGGAGATATTTAGAAGCTTAAGACACACTCATCTGTGTACCACATTCCTGTGCCGGTGTTAAAAGGCCTACAGTTTACTGTTGGTCCCTAGTTCCTCTCCCATAAGTTTAGTGGATATATATGTGTGTGTATCCTCATGACAAATCTTGTAAGTTTTAAATATTCTTCTCTGCTATCTTGAAATTTCTTGTGGACTGTGTGTCTTTGTGTATATGTGATGGAGAGGACAGAGGAAATGCTTGTTAAGCTTCTTTAATACTAAATTTTGGTCAGAAATGAAAAGAATACTTTAACTTTTTAAATGCATAATTAGTTTAGCAAAATCTCTTTTGTACTGAGGACTGTTTCAGGGTCTGAAGAACACTAGGCTTTCTGAAAAAGCAAATATATGCCTGAAGACTGTTTCTGTAAGTGGGACTTAGCATGTGTTGGGTTTCATGCTCCTGGAAGTCCCTGGGACAAGGGACAAGTCACAGCAGGATGCCCAGAATATCAGTTCCTACCAACTATTCTTTTGAACAGTGCAATCCTTTGCTTTAACACTCTACTGAAATAACCAACCTATTACTGATTGCCTAAATCATTGCTTTCTAAACTGGGCCCCTGGGCTCCAACAGTACACCGTCTTTTAGAACATTAGGCCCCACTGTGTGAGCTGCGCCTTCACAAACACTCTTCTTTCCACAATAGGCCAGTGAGGTGTGGAAAGAGGTACTGATCTAAGTCACCTTTTCCCTGTGTCAAAAGGAAATTGATTATTAATTCAAGGTGAATTAATAATGACCTTGGCTTTTAAACTAATTCATTACCGAGGTCCAGCCTCAAGACATTTCAAGTCATAGTTTTGTTATGTCTCTCTGTCTTTAAATAACTATTTAACCTAAAGGGCAATTCTCTAGAGTAGCCTAATGGGAGGAACCTTTCTTTTGAAGGATGATTAAACTCATTTGAATTAAATAATTGTTTTGCCAATTATATGGACATCTGCAAAACATTCATATACTTGCAAAGTGACTAGGAATTGACAAGTTTCTGACCTTAGGTCATTCTTGCAGCAGGTAGGGAAGTTAAGGATTGTAAAAACATTTTGAGCTAGTTACAATGTGGGTTCACCCACTTTGCCAAAATTGCAGGCAAGGTTTGGGATGATATAATTAGCTAATCTTACCAGGGGACACCTGGCCAATAATCTACTCCAAACTTCCACCAATGGGATCCTGACTGGGACAAGAACTTCCTAATCTTCCCCTAACAGGGTGAGATGGGCTTCATGCTACAAGGATTGCCAGTTTCTTTCAAGCACAGGCTTGTGATTCAGGCAATGAGCTGAGCAGTTAGGAGGCTCTGGTCCTGAGTCAAAGCTCCCAGGGCTCTGCTCATTCTTGGGATTCCCACTGTGACTCTCAGTGAACACACTTCCAGACAGAGTCTGCAGCATGAGTGCCAACCAACTATTGCCTACCTTTGTTCTCTGAGAGTTTGACTAGTTCTGTGGCTATTACTGGGTGAAATGAATAAAACCAACGAAGAGTCCAATCCTCAAAACAAAAGAGAAACCAGCAACCTACCAAGAAAAGCAGCAGAAAGCAGAGGGCAGCGAACAGGATTTGTAGTTCAGAATAGTCTCTCCAGTTCTCAGCCAACAGCACAAAGTCACCTCACTGATAAATCACCTCAGTGACCCACAGACAGACTCAAACACACATGTGTTATTTGGCATTAAAACTACACAGATTGGAATCACTGAATCATCATTCCATTCCATTTTGTTACATGCAGAGGCCAAAGGGACCTAACCTGCATAGAGCAGGCTTTTGCTACAGACAAGCCCTCCCATCGTGCGGTATTCTGGACTTATTGGCTGATGCTATTATTAAAGCCAGATGCTTACTTCTGCAAAAGAAAGTTATTCATTTTACATAAGAACAAATATTTGTAAATATCAGGAATATTAAAACTAACAATATTTAAAATTAGTTTCTAGTTGCATTTTAACTGCATGTTGTGCTTTTTATCCTGTGCTTTTAAAGCTGCTCCCCTACCATGTACTGTTTTATAACTGACTGTTCAGTTCTGGCCACCACTGCAAAGGCTGAATGAACTCCCACAGGAGTTTGCATTCCTCCAGGAATGCTGCGCCAGTACTAATGAAGTGCAATGGCTTATTGTCATGCTTGGCAATGTGGTGTTCTTTTGTCAATTCTGGGCCTTTCTATGTATGAAGAAGCCACTGCCAGCATCACTCACACACTGAGGCTGGGAGGCTCCATGGGGAGTGACCACTGAGAGCCTCTCAAGTACTGACCAGCTGTCCAGGATTGAACTGAACTATCTAGGAAAGGAGAGAGATGATGGGAATATACTGAGAAGTCACATTATTTCAACTGTATTAAAAATAACCACCTTACATTTTAAACAATTTATTGCATAAAATAATGTATGTATCTGAGTATAATTCATGCTACAGTGAAAAAAATCTAAATTACTGAAGAAACTCCACTGCTGCAGGACAAGGGCAGCTGCATGATACTGGATGTATAAATTCATGTGTCAGGCTCATTTTTAATAAAATGGGCAGCCTAAGACTAGCAGAATAACTCAACAATACAGAAATGCTAAAACTTGGCACTTCCCATCTTCCATCCAAAAGTCTCCAAGTGCTTCAGGGAACTACTGCTATCTGATGCAAATTCTTACAATAATAACTTTTCTTGATTTACGTAAGTTGGCATGTTAGGCTATGTCCCCCAAAAATTTTCCTTGCACAATTATGGGGCACACTCCAGGGTATTCCTCAGACCTGATAATAATCCACAGGTGAAAAGACAACATACAGAATGTCACATAAAATGGTTCCCTTATATATATTTTAAACATTAAGATAGTGCAACTTTTAAAAACATATCATCATAACAACACAAATTAACTCCTTGCATTCACCTAACTTCTCCACTTTACCTTGGCACGAAAAAAAAAAAAAAACAGGAATTTTGAATCATATTTTGAAAACAAAAGTTCCACACCTCGGGAGAAAAAGCAAACTGGCCAATTCTTCCCCATGATAATATATAGTAATGCTTCCTTCTTTATTCATTTAATTATAAAACAGGCCATTCTAGCCTCTTTCTCTGTAGTCTCCTTTCAAAATTAAATAAATCAAATACCTCTGGGTTTTATTTCATGATATCTCAAAGCATCCCTTTCCCTGTGTTCCCATGCCCACCCTTTGCCAAAACTATCCCCCCTCCCTATGCCTGCCCCCAAATAAACACTGTTTATGGTCAGACTGGATGGAAGTTTGTATTATTTCAGTCTAGTTTGCATGCAGTTTCCCTGGAAGGAATCAGAAACAAAGACCACATTTGCACATTTGGTTTTCCTTAGTTGTAGCACGTAAAACTCGACAGCACTGTGCCCAGGAGCAGAGGAGCTGTGCAGCCCTCCTCCCTCCTCGGTTTCTTCTCAATTCAAGTGAATATTGGGGGGTCAGACAAGATTCCCAGGCTTCCCATCTTTGCCCTGGATGGGCACCATTGTGCTCCCAGAGCTGTCCTGTTGAAATGGCAGTCTGCTCCCTCTTTGCATGTTGCCGTGCTGGTGATGGAAGAAAGAGGCTCCTGGGTAGTGGCCCATCACCTCGCTGTACGTTGGAGGTGGCCCTTCCATCCTCCCATTACTGCTGCAGGTGCTGGCAGTAATGCCTGAATTGCTGCTGGGTGGGCACGGGCCCACATTATACACAGAAATGTCTATCAAATCACTGTCAAATATGGTCCGGTTGGGTGGGGCCCTCACAGATTCTCGGTTGAGTTCCATCTGCTGTTCAGGATCCCTGAGCTGCAGGGTACAGGGCCCCTGGTAAGGAGGTGGCTCCTCCCCATCAGACAGGGAGATGGTGGGGGGGAGGTCAATCTCATGTTGCACATAGGGGTAGGTGGGCTGAAAGCGGCTGAACCGGTCCCTCTGGATAAAGGATGGGGCAGCAAACCTGTCTCTAGACCGAGGTGGATACATGATCTGCAAAGAAAAGAGCAAAGGCTTAAAGATATTTTTTTGGCACAATAGTGGTCATAAATGTGATGGTATCAACAAAATTCACACTTGGCCTGTGTTCTCATCTGTCTGGAAACTTTCCCCCCACTCAACACAACAGGAAAAGACAATCCCCCCAAAAAATGTAATTTTCTTCTTAAAATTTTTTAATGTATTGATTTTAGAGAGAGGAAGGTGGGGGAAAGAGAGAGAGAGAGAAACAGATTTGTTGTTCCACTTATTAATGCATTCATTGATTGATTCTTGCATGTTCTTTGATGGGGTTTCAAACCCACAACCTTGGGGTATAGGGCTGATACTCTAACCAACTGAGTTATGTGGCCAGGGCCATAAATGTAATTTTCTTATTCTTCATGAGTTAGACCACTCATCTTGCCAAATTATCGCTTATCCAATATGGTTCAATAATGAAGAATTGTGTGTAACTGAAAATTTGGATTTAATGGGAATTATTGTGTATGCTATTTGTACACTATGTGTACGTCTCCCACTGGGTCAAGTAAAATACAAGAGTAACTTCCAGAGTGCAAGAAAAAGTAACACAGTGGAAGCGTGCTGTGCAGAAGGCACTCTGGTCCTATTTACCACATGAGCTGGTCCTATTTACCACATGACCTGGTTCAGGCCTCTACTCCTTTACAAATAAAGTAAGAGGACTGGGCTGCCTGCTTTCTCAGGTCCCCTCCTACTCTCCCACCTGTGATTCAGAAAAGTGGGGAGTGGCTCAGAGTTTTCATTGTAAATATAAGTTACAACTTCACCTGATGGTTCTTAGAACAGGTAGGAAGCACTGGGTCAATTTATGAATTATTTATAGGAGCTTGTTGCTCCATCAGGTACTTAGAAAAATATGGAATAAGTGACTTCTTTTTCCCTCTGGTCTCTAATCCTTTCCAGTTATTTCTAGACAAAAGTTTCCTATAGTTAGTTTTAGTAACTGACATGAAAAATATTTTATATTCCAAAATAAATATGATTATAGATATTTTCCAAAGTGAATTCTTACATAGTCTTCTCACCTATTCCACCACCCATTTTTCTAGAGGAAAGGTAATGCTTGTGTGTGCATCCATCCATTGACTTCTCCCATACCATATTTTTAACTTAAAGGTAAAAGACACCTTTGTTTTTAGGTCATACTATTAAACTTGAAGATGTGGAAATGAATCATACTCTATGTTTAAACTATGCCCACTTCTGCCAAGACTCATTATTAGCAACTTATAGTGTCATGTAAAGATCAGTGATTCTCAATTTGTTTTCTGTAGGGAGCTTTAGACTAGCATCAATAATCCCTAGGAGATTCTAAGTTATAGGCATATGCCTTAATTTAAATGTTATTTATTTTTTTAGAAGGTGGACTATATGACTTTATTTTATTTTTTTTCCACACATTTTTTATTGCTGTTCAAGTACAGTTATCTCCATTTTCCTCCCTCCTCCACCACCCCAGCCATTCCCACTGCCCACCCTTGATCCAACCCCTTTTTGGTTTTGTCCATGTGTCCTTTATACATGTTCCTGAAAACCCTTCCCCAGTTCCCTTCCTTTATCCCTTCCCACCTCTCCTCTGGTTACTGTCAGTTTATTCTTATGGACATAATAAAGTTACTTACTTTTTCAAGATTTTATTTATTTTTAGAGAGAGGGTAAAGGAGAGAGAAAGAGAGGGAAAGAAATAGCAATGTGTGGTTGCCTCTCATGTGCCCCCTATTGGGGACCTAGCCCACAACCCATGCATGTGTCCTGACTGGGAATCGAACTGGTGACTCTTTGGTTTGCAGGCCTGTGCTCAATACACTGAGCCACACCAGCCAGGGCTAATAAATGTTATTTCTTATTCTATGTTGTCATACATTCGACTTTTCCACATATTTTGTTGTAATGTTTTTTTTTTCCTCTCCTCCCTCCTCTATGCACATTGGTTCAGCAGCCACCTCCAGCCACCTACACCCCTCCCTTGTCCAATCCCTTACCTCTGAGGCACCTGGCTGAGGACCGGAGCTGTCTGAAGGCCACAAGCACCCTTCCTGGCAGGAGTGGGAGGGGGGACACCACAAGAAAATCATTAGTTTCATGCAGTAACACCTAAAATCAAGGAAGCACATTCCTCTTTGACAGTAGTAGGCCTATTTAAGTCACAGAACAACAAAGAACTAGTCCTTTTATTTCACCAAACATCTAAAAGGAGAACTGTGACTGCTGGGAACTGTCCTGCCTGGTTTCAGAGGCTGTAACCCTGCCAACAGGTGAAAAGGCCCCATGTCTAGGGAACCTTGGGACCATAAACCACTAAGGAGACAAAACATCCTCACAGAAGGGGCACAGCCTCTGCCCGCTTTACTTCACCCTGCTTGGTCCTGAGTGGATGACTGGTTAGCCAATGACAGGTAAGATTCCTCGAGGGAAGGACAACCTAAGACAGGCATGGTCCTGAAGGGACCATCAGGGAAGGATTTAGGGGATTATGGAAGAAGACCCTCACCCCTCGGCTTTATCATAGCCTGAGTCCTCATTCTATTTGTAAAAAGTCTCCTAATCTCTTGGCTGCCTTGATTTGCCCACCTGATTCAGGCCTAAAACAATGTCAAAGGGGGGTGCAGCCCGGTGCCAGAATCAGCAGTGCCCAGTGTGGGGGAGTGGTGGCCTAAGAAAGAATGCATAAAGTCCTTTGACACCTGCTTTGATAAGAATGTCCTCAATTTAAATGTTAAGGGTCCAATCATAAAATAAGTTTGTTTCCCAAGGTTTTACAGCTGATTGGCATCATCCTGTGTACCAGACCCTGACTTGAAAGGACCCCCATGATCTCAGAAATGTTACCTGTAAACCATACCCCCTTTCTTTGATATGCATCTCTATGTAAGCTAAACTCAATAAAAGCCCATTGAGGGACTAAAACACCTTTCTCCTCTGAGAGATTGGTCAACCTTCTTCCCCAAGCATATCATGTCTTGGTAGAATTATTCTCATTCACAGTGGCCTGGGGGAACTCTGCTGGACAAAGCTCCCCCACATGTGACCAAAAGGAAAAGTTAGAAATTCTAGGTCTCAACCAGATTTGAGGTAGATTGGATTTGAAGTCAGACATATTTCAAACTCACACTTGTGTGTGAAATACATTTCAAATGTCATCAAATCATATTTAATCACTGGCTAGATTGGGGGAGAGTCTGAGTAAATTAAGCTCTTGTACAAATGTGCATTACTACAGCCAGCCAGGTGTTACCCACAGCCCTTCTGAACTGTGATTTGGCACTGCACAGCCACACTGGTTGGCTTTCAAACAAAACTAAGTTTCTAAAGCCTGAATGCCCTTCAAGAGTCTTCTAATGAATTTATTCTTCAGTCCCTTTATTCCCAAGGCATATGTGACTTGACATCTAGTTAATATCTTTTTTTGAAAATGCTTAGCCAGACTGGCAACATGACAAGCAAACACTAGACATTATTAAGGCTCATTTCAAACACCACTTACTTGCTTACAAAGCACTTCATTATGTTTTCCCATTTAAAACAAAATTGTTGGCTACTAGCAATGGTCTGTTGGGCTATTAGGTAAAGACCTGCTATTGTAATAAAAAGAACTATGAGGGAGCATGATGTTTGTATTTTGGGATTCCCAGGAATACATGAACTTGTGCAATCACTGAGCCTCCTGAGAACCTGAAAGCACCCACAAGACTTGTGAGCCTTCTCTTTAGGGGAAAACACCCCTAAATCTCTCTTGCTCTCTTTCGTGGCCCAGCTTTCTAATGCAAATACCCTATTTGAACAACAGGGTGTTTGTCCAATGCATACAACCTGATTCTAGGATGCCCACAGAACATCATGGACTGGACTCAGCAGCAAAAATATAAACAGACCCAGAAGCATTTAGAGGAAATTTGGGCTTAGGGCTTGACTATAAAATTATATAATGAGCTATTATAGCTCAGGACTGATAACAGGTGACAGATCTCATTCTATCTTATAAAGTGGCTGACCCACACCCACAACAGCTCTTCACAGGACCAAGGCAGCTCACACAACACTTCAGAGCATATGTTCTCCTGGATCAAAGCGAAACAATCACTATAGTTTGGAGTTGTTATAGTAACTTTCATATTGAAAATGGCATAGAAACTCATCCTCAGATGTTTCTAAGACTTATATTCTGCCATACTCCCTCTCCCTTTCTTCAAATGGAGCTCAAAGCCACTACTGCCCACCAGCTACCTCACCAATGTCAGCTCTAACCTATCCAGAGAACTGGCAACAGGCAACAGAAAAAACAGAAGGCTATACACAGTGTGGAGCATAATAGCCAGAAATAAAACCACCAGAAGTGGCCCAGAAGTCAAGGGTTGCATGTTTTCTGAAAATGGCAGGAACCACCCTCAGTGGCTTTATTCCCCTAGCAAGTAGCAAAACTGGAAAAATGCCTAAAGAGATTAAGCCTTGCACACTCAATCTTATATTTCACCAAATTCATATCAACCTCCTTCTTACTAAATTCATTCAGCACTTTTTGGCCCTCCTTTCACCTGACCTCCCAGCAGCACTGGCCCCTCTCATTGACCTCAGAGACACCGCCCTCCTGGGGTCCACACCCTGACTTCTCTGCCACTTTGCCTGCTCTTCAGGGAGTGCCTCTAATACTACATTTGATTAAATATTGGAGTTCCCCAGAGCCCTGTCTGGGGCTCTGTTCCTCTCACTGCAGTCTTCCTGGGCCACTTCATTCCCACCACAGCTTACAGGGCCATCCTCATGAGGATGTGTCTATCTCTGGCCCCAACTTCTCTACTGAGCTCCAGACATGTCTAGCTGGGGAGGAGGGTGAGGGCGGGCTCTCACATTCCAACAGACTCCTAAAACTAAACAGGTCTAAAGTGGAACTCATGAAGTTCTCCCCCAAACCTCTCATTTCTTTAAACTGCTGTTGTCTCATCAATTCACCACTCTCCCTCACCACTATTCCATTTCCCTCTATTGCCACCATTACTATTTTAATAAGGATGTAATTTATTTAACTATTCATTGACAATTGCCCACAATCTCCAATTTATTCACTTTTACAGGACACTTATTTTTCAGGTTTTTCCTGACTCCTGTGAACCAACATGTGGTTCACAGGAGTCATTAAAACATCAAAATCTAGCCCTGGCTAGTATGGCTCATTGGATTGAACACCAGCCTAAGAACCAAAGGGTAGCAGGTTCGATTCCTGGTCAAGGCACATGCCTGGGTTGTGGGCCAGGTCCCCACTAGGGGACGAGTGAAAGGCAACCACACATTGATGTTTTTCTCCCTCTCTGTCTCCCTCCCTTACTCTCTGTCTAAAAATTAAAAAAAAAAAGACTTAAAAAAAGAAAAGAAAGAAACTTCAAGATCTGTAAGACGCCATAGTAGAACTGGTTAATATCACCAGCCCAGAAAGCTGTCATTCCCGTTCTGTGCTCAGGACTGATATGTAAATCCAGACATGGAATATGACCAGAATTCTATAAAGGCTGGATCCTAATCATATTGATGGAAATAGAACTACTCTGTACCTGCACTCATGCCATAACCTGCTCTGGTTGATCTTCTCTGGGCTGTCCCATGCTGCCATCACCAGATTGCCTTCATTAGCATGCTGCTAGTGGAGCCCAATGATTTTTGCTTTCCTTGGTGAAATGAAGTTCTTTGACTATGAGCTGGCATCTCCAATGAGTCAGCCCTATAATGTCTGAGAGCCCATGGATAGCTGAATTCAAAGATGTGGGCCCTATTGTCCAGAACTCTCAGTTTCTTCCTCTCCATGCTAGTGATGACATTTTCAGGGAGAAGGGGACTCGTCAAATGGCTGAAGTCCTGGATCCTCATTATGGAATCAATTTTTATCTCAAAAATGAAAGTTCTAATGTTCTTGGCTAATGCTGGTATTGTTACATTATGGCATACTAAGAACAAGCTATGAAATAAAATAATACTTAAAATAGTTCACAGAATTTTGAGCAATAGGAACAATATTTTGCTAATACTTTTATACAGGCTTAAATTCATCTCATCTCTTACAGTTGTTTTCCTTGCAACAATAACAACCAAAAGGAAGGGAAGCATCTACTGTCTGTTTATTCATTACTTCACTATACATCTATTGAGTACTTCCTGGCAACAGATCTCAATCCTTTTCTACTGCAACATGTGAGATAATGTGCATACATAATCTAACATGTATGGTGGCACACGTTCCCATGGGGTAGGTGATAGGGGCACAAGAAGGGGTCCATACAATCCCTAGGGTTAGCTATCACTCCAATCCCTTTGTTCCACTCAGGAAAGTATTCTGGAATGCAACTGAGTTAATAAGCCAGACACTACTCTATGGATTATATTCAATCAATCCTCGTCTATTTTTTAAGGTATATTATTCTCAAATCATTCATATTGTATTTAAGTAGTGCCAGTTACTTGATACAAACATTAAAACTGAGCAGGACACACAGGGGACTGTCACACCTGCTCCAGGAAGCTTACAAGAAGGGAAACCAATCTTAGGAGTAAAGAAAGTGGGCCCTATGGCACTCTCTGCATTGCATGTAATGTATTTTATTCTCTAGTTTTCTTCTTGCAACCAAAGCTCTCTAACAAAAGACTGAATATCTGATGCCAACTTAATATTACCCAGATGGATGACACTGTTTTCAATACAATGTGGCTCTGTAAAGGCAAATGGATTCTGAGCTGGGAAAACCCTAAGCCAGAATCCTGGTCTGCCATTGATCAATCTGTGACTTCTGGCAGCTTATTTATTTTCTCCAAACCTCAATTCATTGCTTTGTAAAATGGGGTTGTTCTGAGGCTCAAGTACCACAATGGATGTAAATTCCTTAGCACACTGCCTTGCAAATGAGTATTCAGTATATGGTATCTCTTAACATTACACGTAATGATTACCTGCTGATATCACAACTAATGTGAGGATAATTTTCAACTCATTTTTATTTTTTATTTTTAAGTTTTTATTTCTGTTGTTCAATATAATACACATATAGAAAAGTAC